AAACTCACGGGCGTTTGTTAAGTCTTCTACGAAATAATTTTTTCTTGCGTCGTTGACCCAATCATAATTTTTGTCTATGTTCCTGCTTCCCAAGTCCGACTCGCTAATCACTCTTGTGCTTGGTCTGATCTCTACAAGATACATCCATTCATAACGAAAGGCCTCCTCCTGTTCGTTGTCTTCATTAATTTTATATTCACTGTCCTCATCTTCTATAGTCGTTCCTTCTCTGTCGATAGCTGGTCCTAACAAATCGATTGTATCTACCCTATTTATCATTTCGATATTTTGGTCATATACCGTTGACTATGCCATGTTATTGGTTTCTTTGATTTGTTGAATATCGTAGAGTAGAACTTTGATTCTACAGAATTCTTTCCATTGTTCTCCATTTCGCAATATTGATGGTCGTGGCCAGATGTGAACTATATTTTCTTTGTTGCATCTTTTCCATTTGCTATTAACTATCTTGTATGTTAGGTTAAGCTTGAAAAGTGAAAATTCATCAAGATCGTTAGGCTGATCCCAATACTTTCTTAGGGGTGATTGTGTTGTGCGTCCTGCATCTCTGATATTAGTCCATGCCTCGTCTTTTTCATCGTTACCAGTTTCGCAGATCCATCTCGAAACTTTGTTATTGAGGTTTAAAGTAACAAAATTTCGGCTGGAATGATATAAGGAAATACTTAGGAGAAGATGACAAGTTTCTTGTGCCGAAATATTTTTTTCAGCGATGCTGATGAGTATAAGTTTTTGTATTGATGACAAAGATGAATCGGTGGTGTTGCTGTTGGTAAGTATTTGGTTGAAAATTTCAGAGAATGCAGCTGATTTGGGTTCAGCTTTACTAGCGTACTTCGATATATACTGTAGAGCTGTATGAATACTAAGAATTGGCTTAAGATCTACGTTAGCTCACCATCCCTGCAACTGCAGCCTGTTATGCGAATTTACTAATCTATCATTCCTCTTTGTTATTAATTTTGGCTGACCGTTCTTATCATTCTGAATGATTATGTGCTTGCAACACTCCTTCGGGTACCCAAACCTACATGTTTGTTGCCTTCTTTTAACACGAAGGCAATAGGATGGGCTACATATGGTATATCGTTGCAATTTATTTATTAATTCGATATAATCTTGTATTTCATCGTCTATTTCGTCAGGTCTTTTTTGGCATGGGTGACGTTCGGGTCTCGATGCATTGATTCCTGGATTGATTATGGTAACAATTGAATTGATATACCTAATTACGTTTTCCATGTAATTTTCGTTTGCCTTCATCAAGTTCCAGTCGATAATGGGAGCATTCCGTTTCGTTGCTATTCCGTGAATATGGACGCTTCCTCGATGTTGCCATTTATAGCGATACTAATAATTCTCGATATCCCATTGTGTTATCAAAAAATCCATGAAAAATTTTCGAATCTCTGGTTGAAGAACCAGTCTGCAATATGTTGGTTTTTTATAATATTTTTTTGTCGTTGTTTGGTTAAATCTATCTCGTCTCCTTCGTTTGCATAATCTGGCATTAGCTTGTGTAACTTCGGTCAGTGAAAATCAGCCATGCTAAAGGTGAAAAATATCAGTCCTTGATGTCCAATTTGTTTAATAAGATCAGACAATTCATACCTTCGTGCCATCCAGAATTGATGTGAATCTTGAATTCCTTCTCCCTATCGCATGATCCCATCTGTGAGTTGTCTGTCTCTGTTTTCTATAATTTCTTATATAACATTAATATCAAGTTGACTATCGCTCATATTCTGTCGGACGTACACCTTTCCTTCTTGTAAGGCCCTCCATCTCATTGTGGAATTTAAAGCAAAGTATCTCTATCGTGCGTGTTGTGCAAATCGTCTGTCTTTATACCAAAGCATATGTTTGAAGTATCAGCTGGCTTTATGTCCCTAGCTCGTTCAGACCGTAAGTCGGCTTTACTGTGTGGATATAACATTGGGAAAGCTCTTGCAATATAGTGGGGTATTTGAAATTCGTTGATTGGGTTATTATCAATTTCTGGCCACATTATTGGTATGTCATTATTTTGCATTCGGTTAAGGGTGTCATTAATTGCAGTAGATTCTCGGGGAGTTAGTGTAATTGATGGTACGAATGTACTTGACATCATATCTCCTTCATTTTCGTCATTGAGAGAATTATCTTCGGTTTGTATTTGAGAGAGTAGGTTAATTACGGATCTATGTTCTGGTAGATTTTGGATAATTTCATAATCGATACTTATGTCTTCGTAGTACTTATTATTAGATTTCAACCATAACAATGCGGCGGCAACTCTGTTTCTTTGTATAGTGAAATCTCTGAATTCGTTTAGATCGTTTGCTTATTGTCTTCTTACCAAGAGCAAATTTAGTGATGATGGGTGTCTTGGAAGTTGTGTTAATGTTCTTACATCTTGTGAAAAGTTGATGACATTACCCTGTAATCGTTTTGCCCTCCTTTGAGCCGATAAACAATCATCACAGTAAACACTTGGGCAATAAGTATTTCTTCAATTTTTGTTAACCCTTTGATTTCCTCAGGTATTTCGCCTGGATCCATGTTGTTTTCTCTTGAAAATTTTCTTGGTTTCTTCTTTTCATTGTAACAACAACGACACATATTATTAATGAGCGTTATTGATGGAGTTCGTTCATTGCATTCAGGACAGACGTTATACTGAATATCGTTCATTTTGTGTTGGAATTTTTGCAATGTGCGGCGTTCGTGTTCGCTAATGTTGGTGGCTGATACCGGTTGGTCATTTATATTTATGTTTTCTCTTTGGTTTTTTTCTTGGTTTATTAGATTTAACTCCATTGTTTCATCATCGTCTCTTTGATTTACTTGATTTTGATTACCTGTTTCATTTATAATTTTGTTTTTTTGTTTTCGAAGTTCATGTTTTCTTTTATTCTCGCGATTATTGCATTCCTTACGTTCCTCATTGGTCTCATTTGATCTTTTCTGTCTTTGCCATTCAGATTCACTTGTAAGTCTTTCTTTACGTTTGTTTTCTGTTTTTCTACTCTTTTCTGACATATTCGTTCACTTTCACGATCAAGACGTGTTCGACGTTGTTCGGGAGTTTCTTTGTTTTTGCTATTTCTTTTTTGGATTGTTTCAGGGTTAGTATTCATTTTATTTTACTTTTACTTATTAGTTTTATATAGATTAAATGTTCAGTAATTTTATGGTTATAATCGTTTGTTCATGATTAGAAATTCAAACTGTTCTTTATTAATATACATTTATTCATTAAGAACAACAAAATTGATCTATCTATTGTGCATTTTATTCTATTAACAATCAATTTATTTATTCATCAAAAATAACAAGAACGATCTATTTATTGTATTAACTATTAGATTTAACGAATTTGGTATTATTAGAGGGGTTAATTGTATTTTTTATTATTTTCGTATTGTCAAATAAATCAATCTTGCTTGATTTGGGAAAATTGGTAATTAATAGAGTTTTATTTGTTTTTTTTTACCATATTCTAATAGTATTGTTTATTGACCTCTTATAATTTGAAATAAAAAAAAAGATTCTTATATAATATATTGCGAAGTATTTGCATGATGTTTCACAATTTAATTTGCGTGACGTTTAATAAATTGATTTTGATCTGCATGACATAATCAATGATATTGACATAATTAATTCACGTGATCTTAAGCTCCAGACTTCACAACGGTGGTACCGTTTCCTAGTTAAGAAATAAATTTATATATAATACACACGGTGGCACAGAATTTTCCCGCAGCTTGAAGATTCTTATTGGTTATTTACGTTACGCCTGGCCTGTGTTCCGGTTTCCGAAACTGTTCCCTAGTTAATAATAAATTTATTATTTAATATCATTTATAATTGTTGATGATGTGTCTAAAAAGAAAATTTTATGTATTTTATGTATGTCAACATTTTCTTTTTGTAATATAATCTTTAAAGTTAAATAAGCCGCCGCTAAATTATGTATTATAATAAATTTCTTTACAAAACTTTGTTCTCTGGAGATTTAAGATGGGGTAATGAAATGGTTGTTAAGATAAAAAATATCAATATCTGATTTTTTAGTATCATTGGATTATTGCATCGATAGATAAATTAATGAAGCACTTTTTCATCTTTTTTCTTTATTGGTTATTCACTTCATTGCCGCAGTAATACAATATTTTTGTTTTATTGTACAATTTCTCTTTTGAATTAATCATGTGGTTATTTCTTTTTTTAAAATTTTTTTATTTCTTTTTGAGATTTCGTTTCGGGCCCAAGTGATGTGTTATTTCACTTTTTTTTCAAAAGTTTAAGTATTTCTTTGAGTAGATAAATTTTTATTTATTTTTAATTCTTTTTTTATTTTCAGGTTCGATCGCAGTGACTCTCAATTTTTATTAATCTTTGCCAAACTGACTTTTTAATATAAGTATGGTGATAAAAAAAAATATAATTTAATAGAATAACATTAATATTTTGATTTGAGGCTTTAAGATTGTGGCTATTAAATATAAGGAATTTTGCGTCAATAATGGCTTAAAAAAAAAAATCAAAAGTCTCATCTAAGGTAATTCGAATGGCTTGAAAATGATTATCATGGTTTGACGATCATTTCATCAGATAGAACGTTTTTCTGAAAGCCCCTTTTTGATTTACGCCACCATATTTAAATTTACCTGTTTAAAATTGAATTTAATAAAAATTGATTCCTTGACATTAGAAGAAATCAAGTGCTGTGAAAAAAAGAGTTTCAATGCGTTAACTCAAAGAGTAATAATAATGAATCACTTTTTGTCAATTCGTTAGACCATAAGATACCAAACAACGTTCCGTAACAATAAGCCTCATTTTATAAATTTCTTACAAGAATCAAAAAATCAAGAATTTAAGCCCCTACAAAAACAATATATATAAGACTTGGAATTCCCCTTCTAGTTCTTCACTTCACTTAAAAGCTTTTTTTTAGAGAGGGAAAAGATATATTCATACAGCATATAAACATGAAATTCACATCAGCTTTATTAACCTTTCCTCTTCTTATTTCTTTGGTTTGTGCTGGTAGGAAAAACTGAATTTTTATGACCTTAAATTTTTTTTCATTTTTAAAGTTAGTCAATTAATTTATGAATAATAGGAGTAATAAGACGAGATGCCGAACCTAATGATATCAAGAGAGATGCCGAATCTGACTATTACAAGAGAGATGCCGAACCTGAAATTTACAAGAGAGATGCCGAACCTCAAATTTACAAGAAAGATGCCGAACCTCAAATTTACAATAGAGATGCCGAACCTCAGCATTTCAAGAGAGATGCCGAACCTAACGATATCAAGAGAGATGCCGAACCTTACATTTACAAGAGAGATGCCGAACCTAACGATATCAAAAGAGATCATAAATCTCATCACTCTGGTTACTCTGGTTATTGAAAAACTTGCCGAAGAAGCACTCAAAAGATTGCTAAATTTGATTTCGGAAAACGATTTTTTTTTGAAATGTAATTTTAAAGAATAGATTTATATAGATTATCAATATACTCTTGTTTCGCATTTTAAAATAAATTACGAAAGATACTTTTGGATTTGTGAAGCAAATACCGGTTTTATTCAAAAAAATATTTCAAAGATTATGATTAAAAGTGAATGATCTGATTAATTTAACCTATTAAAACTTTGAATTGAAATTTATTTTTATTATTTTTATGTAATATCAAAAAACCTAAGAATTTTTTGATCAATTGCCAACTGTTTTAAATGAATTGTAGTAAATTTCATAAATAACATTGTAACCTTTGAGTATAGGCAAAGTTTAATAACAAGTCCATTTATCATAAATCAAACAATCAAATATTTTTTATATAAAAAATTATTGGTAAATCTAAATAACCAAACAACACATTATATTCACCACATTTTAAACACTATTGTACAAATTTATAAATCCTGTCTTTTAATTTAATGCATTAGAGGTTGGAACCGGATTCGACGTTCGGATTTAAATCCGGTTAGATTTACTGTTTTCATAACAAAATAAATTTTGAAGCCGTTTGCCGGTCCGGTATTGTCAGTTGGTCACGTGACATTTTGTTTAGTTGTTAGTTATATATAAGCTGTTTTTCAAAACAAATGTCTTTAAACCGGACCGGCAGTCCGGTATGTCCCGCGTCTTATGAAAACAGCGGTAAGTTGAAATTATTGAGAAATCATAAAATTAACGAATGATAATAAAGCAAAAGAACAAAAAGCTATAAATTACCGAGGGCAGTTGCTTTCATGGTCCCTATTTCCATTATTACGATTTTATTTTAATAATGGATTAAATAACTAATTTTAGAAAAACCAACTTAAGCCACAATATTATTTTACTGCTTAAAATTAACCACTTAACAGTTATAAAATAATTTTGAGAAAATATTTGCATTTAGTTCAGATTATAATAAATAATTTCAACATATACAACAATGAGACCATAAATTTATATGTGATTTAAATTTCTGTTAAGAAAATTTTTTTGGATATTTAAAACAATGGGAAACGACAATACGTATAATAACTTTTCCTATCAAGCTTTAAATCACATTTCGATTTCGTGTACTATCATTCCAAATTCATTGAGCAAAAGTGATAACTTCTTCAAATTATTTTTTGTTTTTTAATTAATTTTTTAGGAAAACGAAAGCAATTATTTATCTAATGTATACATCAAAATTTATTAGAATAGTAGTTGTATTGCGGCCAAAGCAACAGTATTAGCTCATCTTTTCAAACAAATGGCTGCTTTGGTTTGATGGATCTTCAATTTGTTTTTCACCAATTACAGCAAAAATAAAAGAATAAAATAAAAGTAGAAATAAAACCTTGTGATTTAAAAAGTCCAAGGGAAACCAAGTCATTGCATTGTGGAAACAGATTGGTTTGAGGTAAAAACATTAAAATTTTAGAATCATCCAATTATTTAATTCAACGGGATAAGGTCTTTAATAATCACAAAACCGTTTCATTTAAGAGTTCGCAGTAACTCAAATAGAGATTTATTATAATAGATAAATTAATTAACATGTTGCATATGTGTATTTGTCACCCTCGGGTTTGACTGCGCCCAAATTTGATCACCGCGGTTATGACGATCAAGAATTGACTTTTCGGACCTTTAGCGTTAGGACTTATCGACTCCTTGATATTTTCAAAGAATGCCATAACAAAGCAATAGGAAGGAATTTTAATATAAAATGCTTTGTTTCGCTCTTAGTTTACAATAGGATTTGAACAACATTCCATTAGATAGTTCTATTCTCTTTAGGAACATTAATAGTGGCATTTATTATATTCATTTATAATTACTTAATAATTTATTTATTTACTTTAATTCAATAAAAACTTTATTTAATTCTTTATAAATTGATATACATTTATTCTTTCGCTATATTAATTACCATCCTTGCAAAAATAGAATAGTAATATATGAGTATAATAGTAATAGAATATATATATATTCTGCATAAATAAGGTACTATATAAAATATAATGAATATAATATTATGCGTAACATACTGTGCATTGTGTTTTTCTTGATTTTCGTAATTCCAAATTAATTATAAATGAACATTAATAGTTGAAAGAATGGAGTATCATGTAGAGAAGTAGCATAACTTAGTAATTCTTTAATTCTTCTGTTTTCAGAAAAATTTTTAAATTATGGATGTATGGAAGATTTCGATTGAGGTTACTTCCAGCTAATGATATAAAGTATAGAGAAAGCCTTTTACAGCTAATTTCAAAATTCCACGAACCAACCATAAATTATCATTTTTTTTAATTTTCAGACACAGGTTTCATGAACAGTAATATTAATATACAGCAATTTACATATAAACAAAAAATGCATTTTTACTCTTTCCTTTTTTAGTTACTTGAATAGTTTATTTATATTGTTTATTATATAATTGTGTAACATTTATTAAAATGGCATAAATAGGTAAAAAACAATTATTAAATTTATAGCAAAATTTTATAAATGCAATTCAATAGTAGTGATTTATTTGTTTTTTAGTTATCAATAATAGCAAGAGAGCGCAATGAAAAAATAAATTAAATTTTATAGTTTAATGTCACAATTTTCTCCAGAATAACTTGAATAGCTGATGAATTAGCTTATAATAAAAGAATACATTCTCGTCATTATGGATGGAGTTTAGAGGAAGCTGTGCACATAAAGCCACTTTTTTTTTGAGTAAAAAGATATACTATAGAAGGAGCATTATGTCTTAATGGCTTATGTAATTCAAAAAGGTTCTATGAATATTAATGATTATTATTATTTATTTCATGAAGAGTTAGAAATAATATGGTTTTTTCTTCGGGAAAAAAACATAGTATTCCTTCCTCATGAAATAAATGTGTAATCTGTAGGAGCATGTCACTCATACGACTAGAAAATAAGTAAGAAAAATTTCCCAGTCACATAATCATCAAAATCTTAATCAAAAAATTATGAAAATAGTTAGTACACGAAAGGGGATTATATTAATTATTTTGGTATATATTTATATTATACTGTAAGATTTGCTTTTTTACAAATATATAACAATAAATATTTATTTTCATTAAGCTTCCTAAAATAAATACCAGTTTTTAATAGTAATCAAAAGTCCATATAAAGATTTGCAATTAGTTAGAGGTCCTAACTTATAGAGTTGCTTCAAAAATTAGCACACAGAATTATTATTATCATTGTATCAATAATAAATATAAAAATTTAATTACAGAATATTTTAAAGATGAATCACATGATACATAAATTGGTTTATTTTTATGACTAATTTCGTTGGTAGATGCAGAGGGTAGTTTTATTTCTATTTCGTAGAACATTGTTATCTATCTGTGAGATCCTGTAAGTAAATTTTAAAGAGTTATTTTATATTGTAAATAATTTTTAACATGGATTAATGTTTCAGAATTAGGAATTTGTGACACAAACAATTTATCTGCGTTATATATATTTAATATGCATATATAAACAAGGTATATATATATATAGTGCTCTGAGCCGGTCAAATCAACCCAAGTTATTAAATCTGACTTGAAAAAAATTTGAGTCAGGACTATCATTTTATATATGTCACAAGTCCTAATTTCTTAAAACCCACCTCAATTTTACTTGATCTGAATGTGAATGATCAGGTAATATAATTTAAATAATATAAAATGCATAATTTATTTTATGTTATATGACTTAATTTATAACAAATTAAATTATGAGTGAAATTATTAAACTTTCTAATTTTGATAATACAACTTCTCTTGAAAAATGAAAGGCATTGCGAAGTGAACTTTTTTTCAAAAAACTTTTTAAAGAAAATATTCTTCCACCTGAACACAAAATTTTAAAACTCATAAAGAAGTTAAATGTCTTAACTGTTCATATGTATTTTTAATAAAGTAATATATAAAGTATTATAATTTATTTTTTTTAGAAAACATAAAATATAACTTTGAAAGATTGGAGATTCAAATACAACAAATCTTTGGTGTCATTTAAAGCAACATTATTTAAATAAAAATCCAAAAAAATCAAACCACCTAATAGATGAAAAATAAAGTACATTAGATGAATTTATAAGAGTAGAAGAGACTTTAACTAATATATGTATTTTATTATAAAAAAAAATATTTTTTTTACAATAATTTTTATTAATTTTATTTGTATTTTTAAGTTTGCACAAGAAGATCTTCGTAAATTTATTTCAAAATAGATAATTACTAATAATCAACCATTTATAATGCTTGAAACAAGTATTTTCTACAAATGATAAAGTTTTTAAATTCTAATGTATTAATAACTTTAGCAAATATAGCAAAAAAAGATATAATGTAACTTTTTGAAATGAAACAAATAAAAATGATAATATTATTTCAAGTGAGTTTAAAATATATGTTTAAGTATATTTTTTTAAAAAATATTTACTTTAAATTATATTTTAATAGAATATACCTGAAAGGATTTCATTTGCTTTAGATGCATGAATATCTATAAATGGTTATTCTTTTTTAGTTATTACAATACATTGGATTTCTAAAGATTGGAAACTTCAAGATAATATACTTGACTTTATAAATCTTAGTGGTCCTTATTTTGGTAAAAATCTGTGATATTTTTGTAAAAAGTTATAATAAATTTGAATTTTAGCAAAAATAAATAATTTTTTACTCTTTTTTTTATTTTTAAATAAGTATTAATAAAAAATTTGATTATTTTAGATTTTTGCAATTACAAGTGACAATGCTAAAATAATGATAATTTATAAAAGAATTGGAAGATATTTGTTTTTTATTGCTCATTGCCATTATATTACTCACATTATGAATATATTTGTATATGAAATTTTAAATAAAATTAAAGCAAGTGAAGCACTAACTGAAGATGATGTATT